GAGTCGGTTCTGACTCGACGGCACCTGACAACAACAACAACAATCAGTTATAGGCTGAAGACGGACTTACAAGCTTACTATGTTGATGTTTCTAGCTATTCCTTTCTCTCCCCCTCAAAATGTCTATTTTTCAACGGTAGGCAAGGGAAACCAAGACTCAAAAGACAGCTAAGCATCTTAGCATTATTTTCCCTCTTTTACCCATTCAAACCATGCCTCAATCTCTGAATCCCAGAGCCGTGTTATTCCAAGGTTGTGCATACATCATCATTTACCTCTGTCCCACTTAACTCATGCAAACCTGCCTGTTTTCCCATTTGCCTTGTTCTTCCATTCCCTTCCCCCTTCTTGTGTATTGCCCGCCCCCAGCACCCAAGTTATTCTGTGTCTACTCCCTTCCCTGTGCTCCATCTTCCTCTCCCTCTCCTCATCCCACCCCATACATCCTGGTGATCAGCAAAGATTCCCCGCCCTTCCCCCCCTTTTAGGGTGGGTTCTTTTTCTTAATCTTTTACACTAATGGTCCTATGCAGTATTTCTCCTTTTGTGACTGGTAGTTTCGAATTGCTGACCTTGTGGTTCACAGCCCGATTTGTAACCACTATGCTACATGGTAGCATAATATTCCATTGTGTGTATGTACCACACTTTGTTTATCCATTCTTCCATAGATAGGCACTTAGTCTGTCTCCACCCATCTTTTTGCTATTGTAAATAGTGCTGCTATGAATACTGGTGTACGTATATCTACTCATGTTATGGCTCATGTTTCTTGTGGGTACCTCTGTTTTTTGATGTACACAAAAACACTCAGGAATATATAATCATTTAAAAAACCAAAGAGCACATTATGCAAGCCTGCCTCCTGGTCGCCAGCACACAGCCTTTCTCTTTGCATTCTAGAGTCCTCAGCTGCTCTATGTCTCCATGTCATCATCTCTGCCTCCATCTCTGGTATTGCTGCTTCTCTGGATAGGGTCCCACATTTCACTCATGCTCTTTTCCTTTGAGGTCTTAGGGTCCTCTGTCCTGAAATGTGAGATTAACTACTCCCCCTTTATGTTACAAAACTTCTAGCTTTACAGTTGTGACAATTGCAATTAGTCATAACAATTACTCACAGTTGAATCACAAGAATCTTATCCCCATCTCCTTTCACTACACCTGTATAGACAAGAAGAAAACTATTCAATGGGGAGTCTACCTTCTCCCACATACTCTGAAACTAAACTCCCTCTTGAAAACTTTTAAGCCAGTCACTTCATGCCTTTATTGCCACCCCCATTTGAGGTAGCCAGTCTAAGTTGCCCATCCCTATCAACCCTGTGTACATGGTGGTTATGTGCTGTGGAGTAGATCCTGACTCATTGCAACCCTGTACAGGGTTTTTGAGGCTGTAAATCCTTATGGGAGCAGAAAGCCTCTTCTTTCTCCTGTGGAACAGCTGGTAGTTTCGAACTGCTGAACTTGAGGTTAGCAGCCCAATTCGTAACCACTACATAGGGGATGGGAATGATCCTTGATGTGAAGATTCCTTTGCTCTCAGTTGCTATTGTGAGCAAATACATCCATAATTGTTACAATTTACACATTTCCTTTATCAAAAAATTTTAATCTTCCTCTAGTTGAGCTCTGGAGTACTGGTGTGGCACTGTGGGTTAATGCGTCAGGACTGCAAAGTGGTTTGAACTGCAAGGTCAGTGGTTCAAGCTCACCAGCTGCTTCCTGGAAATTCTATACAGGGTCACTATAGGTCAGAATCAACTCGGCGGCACTTAACAACAGTTGAGTTCTGATCATCAAACCATCAAAACTAAGTCAAATGGGTACTATCTGCAAGTCTGATGCTTCCTGTGTTGTTCACTATTTTGCCCATAGAATCCTTCAATATTGCAAGTCAAAGCTTGATTATTTTCTTCAGTTCTTTCAGCTTGAGAAATGCTGAGTGTATTTTTCTCTTTTGTAACTCAGGTCTGTTTCATTTCATTATAATACTTGACTTTGTTTTATCGAGCTGTCCTTTGAAAATTGCTGCTCAGCTCTTTTACTACATTATTTCTTCCATCTGCATTAGCTTCTCTATGTTCAAGAGCAAATTTCAGAGTCTTCTCTGAAAACACTTTGGTCATCAAGTCTCTCTTTTCTGTGTTTTTTAATGACATTTTGCTTTCTTCATGCACGATGCTCTTGATGACATCCCCCTAATGGTCTTCAGTCATTTGTGTTCAGTGTGTCAAATCTACTCTTGGGATGTTCTCTACATTCAGGTGTGATATACTCAAGTAGTATTTTCACTCTAGTGGACTTGTTTTAATCGGTTTCAGCTTTATAGCCTGAGCTTTGTTAGGCTTCAAGTTGGCCCCAACCTATAGGGACCCTATGCAGAACAGAATGAACTACTGTCTAGTCCTGCACTTGTAACGACTGTTGTTACACTTGAGTCCATTACTGTTGCCTCTGTATCAGTCCATCTCATTGGGGGGCTTTCTCTTTTTCACTGACCCTCCACTATACCAAGCATGATATCCTTCCCCAGGGAATGGTCCCTCCTGATAATGTATCTGCAGTATGAAAGACAAGGTCTCGCCAATCTTACTTCTCAGGAGCATTCTGCATGTACTTCTTCCAACACAGACAGTCCATGGTACTTTTAATATTCTTCTCCAACACCGTAACTCAAATGTGCCAATTCTTCTACTGTTTTCCTTTAATCACTGCCCAACTTTCACATGCGTATGAGGCTATTGAAAATACCATGGCCTGAATCAGGCGCACTTTAGTCCTCAAACTGGCATCTCGAACACTTTAAAGAGGTCATGTGCAGCAGATTTGCCTAATGAAATGTTGTTGCAAAAGAGTTCTGTAAAGTGTTTTAAAAAGCAGAGATGTCACCTTGAGGACTAATGTGCACCAGTTCCAAGCCATAGTATTTCAATCATCTCATATGCATATGCAAGTTGGACAATGAATAATGATGATCACAGAAAAGTCGATGCATTTGAGTAATGATGTTGAATAATATTGAAAGCACCATGGACTGCCAGAAGAACCAAAGTATATACAGCAAGCAGAAACAAGCATGCTTTGGGCACGCCATCAGGAGAATCACCGAAACAGAGGAAGACCTCCAGTGAGGTGGCTCGAAACAGTGGCAGCAATAATGGGCTCACACAATTTCAGATGTCATAGGACAGTTATATTCAGTTCTACAGAGTTGCAGGTGTCCTGGTGAGCCGCTGTAAGATAAAACACAGGACCACAGGTTGGTTTGAACCACAAGGTCGGAGGTTTGCATGAGCTTTGCATGAGCATCTTGGTGGTCAGTCACCAGCAGGGCATCACTGCCTGTTTTCTTGTTTTGTGTCGTCAAGTCGGTTATGACTAATAGTGACTCTGTCCTCTATAAGCAGAAAGTTCTGGGTCAACATGCAATGTGCAAGACTTGGTCATTAGCCAATGCAAACACCACCTTTGTTTATCCTGTTGGAAGCCCTGGTGAAAACTCATCCCTACTAATGAAGACGAAGAACTCTCATGTTCCTTGTCTTGGGGAGGTCCCGTCCAGATCTAAAATTCAGTGAGAGTGAGCTAGGAGGACAGGCCATCATTGGCTTATGTCTGAATGTCAACACATAACTGTTTCTCTAAGACCAACTACATAAAGAGGAGAAACACTTCTCACTGGGAGGGAATATAAAATCCAGGAAAAAAAAATTCTTACCACTGAAATTTTGGGAACCATTTTATAATTTATATATAAAATCTCAGTACGAAACCATGTAAAATGACAGAAATATCCATCTTACATTGAGTTTTAAAAAATAAAACCAACTAAAAACACAAAAGAACAAAAAAATGGAAAAAGAAACCCCAAAAAACCAAAAAACCCAAAACAAAAACAAACAAAAAACCCTACACATATTGAATGTAAATTTTAATTATAAAACAAGAATATGAACAAACCATTTTAAAATAATCTCAATTATTTGGCAACTCATCACATCATTGCAGGAGACACATTTGATCTTACGAAAAGTTGAATCTCATGAAAAACATAAGTTGGACAGTCTGCTCATACGGGAGATAAAATATGTTTTAAAAAAGAATCTGGCTTAATAAGGCCAGTCCATAGCCTGAAATCATTGTGTATAAAATCAGTGAAGCTCCGCTGGTGAGAGGCACTTAGTCCTCAATGCGGGAAGAAGGTGGCAGGGAAGGAACTGGAAGTATCGGGACTCAGCATGGAGGAGGGATAGGCAGGGGTTCCCGATTGCCCACGAGGGGACATGACTCCACCGGACCCAGGTCCCTCACTATACTAGGGCTGGGTGTGAAGCCACAGAGGGCGAACAGAAATCTAAAAACAAGTTACATTCTTAAAACTCTTGTCCCTCTAGTGGGTGGAAATGTTACCTTTCTTTAGCTAAGCTACTTCAACTTGCAGACATGCGAGCACTTTCCCGCCAGGCTGGAGGCGGGCAGCTACAGGGCAGGCGGAGTCCTAGGAGGGTCCCTACTGGTAGGCTGCACAGAATTAAAAATCTTTCTTATGAGAAAAAAAAAAAAAATTATAATAATAATAAAATAAACTGATATAGAGTCAAGTTCACAGATAAGTTTTCTCTGTAAAATAAATAAAGTGTTCATTGATTAGCATCATACAGAGTAAAATACAACCTATTTTTACATGTTTATATACTATACACAGGGGCCCGGGGCCAGGCTCATGGCTGGAAGGGCTTGCCTTAGTCAGGGTCACCCATTTCAAAATGTTAAAATGTACAACTACAGTGTTTTGAGTGGAGATACCAAGTAAACTTATTTTCCATTACTGGAAGGACGAGAGTTGGTAAAGCTGTTGAAGACATCACCAGGATAAGCCGGCATCTAGGAATGACAGTGCATGCATGTCCTTCCCTGCTTGACAGACAGAACAGCGTCTGGCCACGGGACGCCCCCTCTCCACTGTGTTTACTCCCAGCTGGGTGGCGGTGTCAGGATTATCGCTTGGCCTTTTTTACGGGGGCTTCCTCCACTCTCTGCTGGCCTCGCGTCCGCGCCCCGGGAGGGCTGGCTTCTCTCTTGCGCTTGGTAGGAGGGGAGATCTGGGCCTTGGATCTGCACGAAACAAAAACCAAAGGCAATGGTTGAGAGAGGAACGCAGCTGCAGCAAATTATTTGGGAGTTTCTTCAAAAAAAAAAAAAACCAACCACGAAGAGAAAACGAGGCTAGCGCTGACACAGGACAAGGAAGTGAAGAGGCCACGGGCCACTAGCTGACAACCTCCCACTCCGATACGAGGTACTGCCGGAGGGTGTGGAAACCTGAGCTCTAGTTCAGCTTCACTCTGGGTGTTGATCTCTCTGCACCCTTGTTCCTCTGTCAAATACAGACTTGCTAGTCTGACCAACATGCACACTGCCCCAGGTGGAAACTGCAAACAAGAACAAAGAGGATCCTAACCTAGGTCTGATCACGCACGTGGGTTTCCCAGGAAACTGCTGGCCGAGTGAGCAGAGGCACAACCATTTCTGGAGAGCTTCCAAAGCATCTCCTGGCAACCAGGGCAGTCCCTCTCTACAGTCTACAGTGAGAACAAGTGTCTGAGACTTCAAGCTCGAAGTCACTCTATTTCTAGAAATACAGAACCTACCCAATGCCAGCCAGCTGATTCTGACTTCACGGGAATCGAAAGCCTCATCTTTTTACCATTGGAGCTACTAGTGGGTTTGAACCACTGATCTTGAGGTTAACAGTCCAATGCTTATTCCACAGCATCAGAAATAGTAAGAAATCTATATCACTCCAAGTTTACATACATGTTATATAAATATGTAATCATACTATATATTAAGATGATAAATGACCAATTATATGTGTATGTGTGTAGGGAGTCCTGGTGTGGCACTGTAGGTTAATGTGCTGGACTGCAAAGTCAGTTTGAACCGCAAAACTGGCAGTTCAAGTTCACCACTCACTACTCGGAAACTCTATACAGGGTCGCTATGGGTCAGAACTGACTCTACGGCACTTACCAACAACAACAACAATATGTGTGTGTGTATGTGTTGTTAGATGTCAATGAGTCAGTTCCAACTCAGTAACCCTGTACAGTGTTTTCCAAGGAGATTTGGTGGGTATGAATCACTGACCTTGTGGTTATACATAGAGTCATTGTGTGGCATAGTAGGATAGGCACTGGACTGCAAGGTCAGTTAAAACAGCAAGGTCAGCGGTTCAAATCCACCAATTGCTCCTCATAAACTCTATATAGGGTCGCTATGAGATGGGGTTTTCTGCTCCTGTAAAGACTTACAGCTTTGGAAATCCAATACAGGGTTGCTATGAACCACCGACCTTGTGGTTAGCAGTCTGATGTTTACCCTACAGCACCACACCAGCATCCCATATATAACTTGTTGTTGTTGTTGTTGTTAAGTGCCATTGAGTTGGTTCCGACCCATAGCCACCCTGGACAGGGTTTCCGAGAGTTATATAAATATTTTTTTATTAGTTCTGAGATTGTGGGGTAAGCATTAGACTGTTAGTGGTTCAAATTCACCAGCCAATACACAGGAAAAAGATGAGGCTTTGTATTCCTGGAAAGATTTCCAGTCGCAGAAATTCTACGTAGCGTTGCTGTGAGTCGGAAGCAACCAGATGGCAGTGGGTACGTGATATAGTTACATACATGCAGTGTATGTAAACTGGTCTCAGAGAAATCAGGTCCATATATATATATGCTGTTGTTAAGTGTCATCAAGTCGGTATGTATGCAGCTCTGGTGTGGCACTGTACGATAAGCACTGGACTGCTAACACCAAGGTAGGCAGTTCAAACCCTCCCATCAATCCTTGGAAAGCCTGAACGTCGCGATGAGTCGGAATCGGCTGGAAGGCACTTACCAACAACATATACAAATATACTTTAAAAATTCTTGTTGGCTTGCTGATTCCTTCAGGATAAAGTAATCCAGAGCACAGCACACACATTTCCTTCTAATCTGCTCTGTGCTGACAACATCCTTGACTACCCTTCTTCCAAAGTATCCCCAGTCCTCCTCCACATCATGCCCTTTACGCCTTTATACTTGGGGCCAGGTGGTAAACTTGCATTGTAAGCCCTGGTTCAGCGGCAATTCCACCTGAGACAGCTTCCTCATGACAGAGAGAGCTTGTCTCTTTTTGGAAATCCCACAGTATTTCGAATCTTCATCGGGCACTTAATGCTACCTCGGAGTGGCTGTGCTTTGTCACACGGCCGGTCACATTCCAGTCAGTAACTGAAAACCATAGAAGAGAACACAACAGAAAATGTCAGTAGCAGCACAGCTCGAGTCCCAGTGCATGGATGGGGGCCAGCAGGGCTGTACAACGCTCTCACGGTGGGTCTCAAGTCCTACACACGGCCTCCTCTATTAACACCTTTCTCTAGGGCAGCTGATGAGGTTGGCTCATTTTCCCAGCTATCCTCAGCCTAGGGCTAGCCCCAGCCCAGGGGTATGGTTATTGCTAGGTGTCGTCAAGTCAACTTTGACTCAGAGCAAGTTCAAGGGACAGAACGGAGCTGCCCCATGGAGTTCCCAGGACACCATCTTTACAGGAGCAGCACGCCAGGCCCTTCTTCCGCGGCACTGTAGGGTGGCAAAGCAGCCTTCACCTTGCTGTCTTCCCCTGTTAAAGCACCAGTCAATATTATCAGTGAATGGAAAGAACTAGTAAACTACCATGACAAGAGCTGGAGAAGAGTTTGTTTTTTGGTTTACTGGCCTTTTGACCACAAAAGTAAATAGACTCAGATGGAGTAAAATACGGTTGCAGATGATGGGGTTTGGGGATAATGTTACCTCTGCAAATGTCTAGAATGGCTGGGAAGCAGTGTTTATTAATAGCTCATTTCAAACCGTGTCTGTGGAAAACCACCAACCCCTAAATGACTGTCTACTGATGAGTTGCTGGGGGCCAGCCGTGCATTAGGTGACATGGAGCAGAGCACACAAGCTTTGAGCCACACCACCCCTTCCCAGTCACGTGAGCATGGCCGGGCAGCCAGGGCTTCTCCCTCAGAGTATGCCCGTGACCAGCAACACCTGGGAGTTTACTGGAAACACAAAGCCCCAGTCTCATCCTGCAGAATCAGACTCCGCACTTTACCTAGGCTCTCAGGAGATCTGTGTGCACGTTCAATTTTGGGAAGCAGGGATCTCGACCTGCTGTATGAAGTAAGGATCTGTGCCCATTCTATGTGGTGAGGGATGATTGAGAAGATCTGACTTTCCTCCCTCTAACACAGGAATGACCATATGTCCAGACATGAGAGGATGCTCAGAAGAACACAGGTGCAGCCTTTTTATACTGTGACGTCTTAGTCTTTGATGCCGTAGTGTACAGACAGTAAGACAAGGGCCTGGACACGAGGAAGAAGCTTGCAGCTCAGGAGGGAAATGAAGCGAATCGGCCTGAACCAGGGGTACAGGTCATTCTTCCACAGCCTAGTGCTTCTGGACAGAGAGTGACAGGAAGGGGAGGCCACGGGGGCAAAGCAGAAGGAGGAGGCATCCTGAAGAAGGTGGGCTTGGAGGATGAGGAGGGCCTGTCTGGTGAGAAGGGGGGACGTTTTTCAAGAAGACCTGGTGTGCAAGCGAAGACAAGGAAGTTCAGCGCAGCCTGTGGGAGTGAGATGGATTGGGCTGTGGCTCCAGTGTAAACTGGCGAGTGGCTGGCCACAAGGGGGCGCAGTGCTTCACTGTCTCCTCGCTCAATGGAGCTCCTCCGGCATTACCAAGCCCTGAGGTCTCTGAGTTCTTGAAGGACACAAGCCTGGCCCTCGGTCCAGTGGATGGACATGGCAAATGAAGGCTCCCAAATGTCAAGAGCAAGTGTGAGTGGGAGGGTGTGCGGTGGCAAGGGCAGACTGTGGAGGCACAAGGGGAGCCCTGGGCAGCTCTGCCTCTTCCTGTTGGAAACCAATGACCCCAAAAGGAAATTAGGAAGAGAGAGGAGTACTGTATGAAAAACAGCATCAGGGGGTTAGACATGATGCGAGGCATAAGCAGGGACTTACCTTCCTAATGGGGGAGATTTACTAAATTTTTCGCGGGTGGATAACTTCTCCTTTGCTAATTTTTGGCGATTTCGGGGAGAAACTGTTTCTGGGCTGCCAAGTTTGGATGTTGCAGGCACAGATGGCATGCTATGGTGCTTTCTGAAACAGATTATAGAGACACTGGGCAGTAGGTAGGGGGAACGGTAGCCCTGGTCACTCCAGTCCCGGAGACCAGCCATGAGAGTTGGAGCGATGGGACGTGAGCAGGAAAACGGTGGGTTTTTGTGACTGTTGCTAATCAACAGATCTCGGTGCCATCCATGACCAACTCTGCGGTGTAACTCTCGGGTCTTTGAGTTTACTGTGCGTGGTATTTTCCTGTGACTCAGAAGGAGGTGACCCTGGACAACAGAAAGCACACCGACTGACAAGACGGGAATCAATCCTCAAAGAGCTCATCAGAGTGGACGCAAAGGGCTAAGACTAATAAAAGTACCCTTCATCAGGTCCTGACCTGGGTCTCAAGAGTCAACTGAACAAGATGAGGAGAAGAACTGAGTTACCGGCAAAAATCTCAGGAAAAGAACTGGTTTAGCTGGTGTGCAGTTCACGATGAAGCACTTCTGTGACCCATACTAAAGCCCAGCAGCTACAAAATGAAGATTCATTAGAAAACACTTGATGCAGAACTTTTGCTTCTTAAAGTGGCTAAGGATAACCGAGGCGAAGAGCAATGATGAGGGGAGCGCCAAACAAGAAGAGGAGATCTGGAAGCTAGCCTCAAAGGTCAAAGAGGAAGTCATCTAGAAGACCCCAAGAGTAGAGCCAGAGCCAAGCGTAGCCGTTGCAGGCAGGCCAGCTTCTATGGAACCCCAGACAGAGAAAGCTGAGGAGGAAGTGGCTTTGCGGCCACTGAGCATCGGCAAAAGCAGGAGGACCATTTAGAGAAGCTGCTGACACAGAGATTCAGATATGGATGGGTTAGTCCAGTTAGATGATCACTGAGCCCAGCCAATTCCAAGAAACAGTGAAGTTACAAAGAGACACCCTGGAACCAAGCAACCAACACCAAAAAATCAAAGAGACGGGGATTCTCTTGTCAATCATGAGTTCCTACAATACACTGAGAGTGAATGCTGGAAATCAAGTAGGATTTATTTTCGAAGAACTTAATTTTAAAAGGCGATGTTTCTAGCTGTGATTAGACGCTCACATGAACATGGCTAGAAGGTCTCCAGAACCTTCTGAGGGGAACTTTATTCAATGGGACCATCTCCTCAGACTGTTTAAGAGAGGGCCAGTGGTGCTGGTGGAGTGGTCCTAACACCCCACCTTCTCTTATCAGCAGGCATCTTGGTTTTGTCACTCCTCTTCTATTTATTGGAGTTGCCCCGTTAAAAAAGAAAACTTGTATCACTTTATCTTTGGCCATGTGATCTCCTGAAGTTTTTTGGTTCTAATATTTGACCTTGAGACATGAAACCCTGGTAAAAATGGCTTTCATGGACAAGTCTGGAGGGATTAGAGCTAAACCTCTATGCACATAACAAAGTACTTTCACTATTATACTTGAGTGACAGATGTCTATAAGTGATAGTATTGAAATTAATGTTGATTCAGTTTGCATAAGGAATTTACAGAAGATGATACCAAGATGAACAGCCTGGGAAACTTGTTGAAAATGGAAAGGATTCTTGCTTTGGAGAAAGTAACTAACTCTTAGGATATATTTAGTGGTGCAGTATTTCTCAAAACTTGCCACAAGGAGTACTGACGGGCATTCACAGGCTTAGTAATGGGGACAGTGGTCCAGTCGTGTTGGTTTAAACAAAGGTAGACTGTTGTTTTTTTTCCCTTTAGGACTTTGTTGTTGCTGTTACATGCTGTGGAGTTGGTTCCGACTCATAGCGACCCCGTATAGGGTTTTCGAGGAGCGGCTGCTGGGTTTGAACCACTGATCCTGGGGCTCAAATTGACTTTGCAGTCCAGTGCATTATCCTGCAGCACCACACCAAGACTTTATTTGCCACGTCCTGGTAGTGTAGTGGTTACGAATTAGGCTGCAAACCTCAAGGCCAGTAGTTCGAAATTACCAGTGGTTCTGCAGGAGCAAGATGAGGCTTTCTGCTCCCATAAAGATTTATAGCCTCGGAAACCCTATATAGGGTCGCTACGGGTCAGAACCGACTCGATGGCACTTAACAACAACAACAAATAAACAAACGTACACATGACTTTCTAAGAGGGGGAGAGAATTCACTGGTATCCTTAAACTCACGTGACCAAGGCGCTCTATTCCTAGAGGCTTCTGGATAGACTAAGGTTTGGGAGCACACACCTTGGGAAACATAGACAATTGCCATCTGTGTAAGTCAACAATGGTCACATGGGGGTGATTTCACAGGATCCATGGATCACAAAGCTCTGGCTAGCTGCATCTTACAACAGTGGGCCGTGTGGCTGTGTCCTGTCTTAGAGATCAGCTCCTGCAACGCAGAGACTGTGTTTTACGAATCTCTATATTCACCCAGCATGCTCAGCACAATATCTGAACTATGTTCCTGTTGCTAAGTGCCATAGAGTCGGTTCTAACAGTGATCCTGTATAGGGTTTCCAAGGAGCGGCTAGTGAGTTTGAACCGCCGACCTTGTGGTCCAGTGCTTTATCTCACAGCAGTCCATGCTTAGTAAGTAACAGCACAGGAATTGAATGGGATCTACCCAAAAGGTATTTAAAACTGGGCAGAGCTTCTGAAAAGATCACAAAGGATGGATTAAGGTGGGAAATGTTCTCCAAGAAGAACCAAGATGTCAGAGTACTGCGCACTGAAGAAACAATGGAAGGAATGTGCTTGTGCTGTTTAACTGCTGTTGTTGTTGTCAAGTGCCGTGGAATCGGTTCGGACTCACAGCAACCCTGTACAGCGTTTCTGAGGAGCTGCTGGTTAGGTTTGAGCTGTCAACCCTGTGGTTCCAACAGACCCGACATGACTGCACTGAAAAAAAACAGCAATTCAGTTCACGAGGAGTCCCACGAGACCTGAAGGTGTTTTCTCCGGGGCAGAAGCCGGAGAAGTCTACAGAGGAGCTCTGTTGCCCACTATTACCTCTGAGCCTCCAATCTGGTGGTGGATCTGGTGGTGGCTCCGGAGGGCTCATCTTCCTCCTCCTCGTCCTCTTCCTCATCAGACTCCTGGTCTTTCTTGTCCTCGGTGGTGTCAGAAATGGACTTTTGGCGTTTTCTTTCTGGCTCTGAGGATTCTGTTCAAACAGAAGGGTAACACCTGGACTCGTACAATTCCCAAAGACCACGTAGAGCCTAGAGTCACGGAGTTTGGACCAACTGAGGATGGGCCTTTCAGGTGGAAGGAGTGGTTTTCCACTTCCTTTGTGTTTCAGCACTTGCAATTCACAACTGTTTAACTTAATTGCAAACACATTTGGGATAGTTTACTTAGGCGGTTCACAGCCAGCATTCATGAAGAATTCACACGTACTCAGAGAAGCATCTGGGATGTACCATGTATGACATGGGATTAGAGCTAGTCATACATATTTATATCATGTGAAGACTAGCTGTACCCCCTGGTATCCACTGAAACATTCAGAAGGGCGACTCTGAATTAAGAAGGTTCAGGAAGAACTGACTCGTACCAGCGTCATCAGAGAGAGTGAGGGACCGCTTCGGCTTCCTTCCCCTCCGACGCACACTCGCTCCTGCTTTGTCCTCCCCGTCATCCTAGAAGCACCAAAATCGAAGGTGAGCTGGCGGTGGCCTGGACTGTTTCTTCAGTTGTACAGGAACAATTTGGAAAAGGGAGGTACACTTACATTGCTTACGCTTCGTTCTTGTGGGTGAGCTGTTTCCTTGCTGGACTCATCTTTCAACAGAAGGGAAACCAGTGCATTAGTATTTTGTTGGTGTTAGGTGTAGCTGTGTTGATTTTGACTCACAGTGACCCCGTGTGACGGAGCAGACCTGTCCCACAGGTTTACTAGGCTGCCATTTGTATGCGAACATACGCGGCAGGCTGCTCTCCCATGGAGCTGCTGGGTGGATTTGACCCACCAACCTGTCAGGTGGCAGCTGAGCACTTCCCCATTGCACCACCAGGGTTCCTTATGAATACTTTATTAGTGTCAAATGAAGCTTCATCAGTCTGAGCTGTGATCTATGCAGGGACCAGTGCTAACTAGTGCATGGTTAAACAAGCTGGCAGAGAGGACATGAGGATGCAAGCCAAGACCCCAACCTGCTTGTTCCCGATCTGCCAGAGAAAGCTGCGTGATCTTGGAAAAGGAGGGAAATTCTGAGCCCTAGTCTCTTTCTGTGTAAAACACGGCCTAGGTTAGGTCACCTTGATGGTGTCTTTCAGCTCCAGTGGAGCGCTGTGGCTGCTCACCACAAGGTCTGCTCCACCAAGAAGGACGAGGCAGTCTGCTTCCGGAAAGATGACAGACTAGGACACCGCGTGGGGCAGTGCCACTCTGTCCTACAGCAGTGCTGTGAGTGGGAATCGATGGCAGTGGATGTGGTGTTCTGTGTTTTACCAGCTCAAACGCTCTGAGCTCAGGAGAGGCACTGTGATCAGGATTAGGGACATCATCTAAGTCTCAGTGTAATCCTCCCAGCTGTCAGTCCCCATTTTACAGGCAGGAAAAGGAGGCTCAAGGAACTTGTTCAGGGTCACAAAACTACTATGTGGGCTTATAGCTAGAATTCTTTTGACTTCAAACATAAGACAATTTGAAGGTTGTGTTGCCTATTCTTTGTATATGTGCTTTGTGTGGATGCTCCACTCTTCTGAGAACCCATCTTGGCAAGAAAAATAAAGTCTAGCTTCAATACACGAAATGAGGCTAAAATGACGGGGATGCTTATCAACATGAAGACTGTGGTAACTGCTCTTTCCTGCAATTTCAATGTTCTAAGGAAGGTGGTGTTGTTAGGGGACGTGGAGTCAGTTCTGACCCACAGCAACCCTACGTAGACAGAACGAGAGTGGTCCTGCGTCAATCCTACAGCTATCAGCTTTCAGCCCACTGTGGCAGCCACTGTGCCACTCTGATGAGGACCACACCGTTAAACCAGTGAAAAGGCTGACAAAGGAGGAGCTTATCTTCAACTAGTGATTGTTATCCTGATTCAGAAAATTAATGTCAAAAAAATCAATACCCGAACAAAATCATATTACTGCAAAACCATGTTATTACTATTTACAAAATCAATATCTTTAAAGAGCACGCAAGTTATTTCTGTATGATTCCAAATATTATATAACAACAGTATGAAGATCTGTTAAAAAAATTTTTGTAATGACCTATTTGCTTTTCAGAATAGTTTCCTGATTGCACCATGAGGTACATTTGATCAAAAGTTGTTGACATAATTCATTCTTTCGCTTATTTCTACCCCTTAAAACCTACCAATGGCTATTCTGGCTTTTCTGCAAAAAACCTGGAACCAGGCAAATAATGTGTACATATTATTAAAAATCTAGATAGTGCATACGACTGCAACAACTCACCTGGACTGTACCCTGCAACGTCACAGTCTTTATGATCACTTAGAGAATCATTAGCAACATTTTGGCATAATTTCTTCTTGGAACAAGGAAAGACAACAGGATACCTGCTCCTCACTTATCAACAATCTCTTATCCGACATTTCGCATTTACCACACTAGTAAAAAAATCTCCTATTTTGCACCTTCGCGATGGACACTTGGCAGTCACGAATGCTGAGGTGTGAGGTGAGAGCAATGCTGGCTGCGATGGTAAAAGTTATGTGTCACGTTGTCTGCTTCCCTGTCATTTGCTATATACTCAGCTTTGACTGTACCACCTGTTCTATTTTCCCACCCATCTTCCCTCTTAATAAGGTTGGAATCCTCTTGAAGACAGAGGTTGCTTTTGATTTCAGAACTTAAATTGGAGTACTTTTCTTGAATCAATAATAATCCTCACCAGACATCCACCTTCCCAGAGCTTGTGCTTTAAACCCATACTAAGGAGAAGCTCAGGCCACAGGCAAAGTCAGGTATAGCCTTTCCTGGTTACAGTGGTGTTCACTGAGGCTGCTTTGTACTTCAACAAGAAACAGAATGAAACTATACAAGTGTTCCCCAACAGCCACGCGCCCTCACGCACAGAAGAATGCTGTCGGCCTGAGATGGAGGCAGAGAAGATGATGTGAAGAGATGGAGTGGCTGGGGACTTGAGATCCAGAGAGGGAAA